GAGGGAAGGTGCCGATAAATGCATGTCAGACCCACGGACAGGCATGTGTGCAGCCACCACCAGAGACCAAGGGACCAGGATTGGGCGGCAGGTACTGGGGCAAGTACTCACTGGACTCCCAGGCGCCTACGTGCCAGGCCTGGTCACTGAGGCGGGGACAGTCGTCGTGCACGCAGGGCTCCGTGAGCGGCGGCGGGTCCTTAAAGGAGCAGGCTGAGGCATGCAGCAGAGACCCCTCGTCGCCCTGGCAAGTGACGCTCCTCCTCCGGATGCCGGCACCGCAGCTGACGGAACACTGTGAGGACCAGGCCGTCAGCAGCAGCTTGTTCTCACCCCAGGAGCCACGCTGGGTCAGACAGCGGAAGGCCCACCGGCCCGGCATGGAGGGCGGACAGCATCCTACTGCCCATGCCCAGCTCCCAGGACCAGAGAGGCTGAGTCACTCCCCTGAGGTCACACAGCCTGAGCCACGCATGCTGACACCAGGCTGAGGTGCATTTTCCACCTTCCCTCATTTGCAACTTGAACACATGTGGGTGTCAGAAGCCATGGCCAACATCCCGGACTGCGCGGGCCCCTCCCTTGCCCCCAAGCAACGTGCCCAGCTGCCTCCCTGCCACGGCAAAGCCTTGCCCGCCCTGCCTGGGCCCCCAAGGAGGACAAGCAGTGGAGCAGGAGGCTAAGCACCCGCTCCTTGTCCCAGCTTTGGCCACAGCTTCCAAGCCCACCCAGCAGGTGACTTCATTGGGTCTGTTTCCACAGCAGAGAGCAAACCTCCCAGCCCTGCCCTAGGCCCAAAACCCAGCTTCTGACTTCCGCCCACCCCTGCCTGGCCCACCTCACCTCTCCCCAGGGCTCCTCCCGCCAGGCTGCGCAGCGCTGCAGGTTGCAGGCCTGGGTGGTGGCAGGCTTCCCGGGCAGGCCTGCACACTGGACCTCCTCCATCGCCTCCTCGCCGCCGGCCCCATCGGACCAGACGCAGTAGACGGAGCGGGACTGGGAGCCACCTCCGCAGGAGGCCGAGCAGGGTGTCCAGGGCCCTGTCTTCCAGCTGGCAGGGAGCAGGAACCGGTGAGGCCGGCCCAGCAGCAGGGGCCGAAGCCCAGGCCCGAGGGGGTGCCAGCTCTCACACACAGGAGTGGACTGGAGGCCCACCCACCCGGCCCATCCTCTGACCATCCGGGCCTGGGCAGCTGGGGGGCAGAGAGCTCTGCACAAAGGCCAATCCCCGGGCCCCCTCGCCATCTCCCACCAATGCGTGCTGGCCCCTGCACCACGCAGCCAGGCTGCCTCCCTCTCAGCTCCCCTGCCCTCACCCGCATCTCCCTGTGGCCTTCTCACCAGGTCCCGTCACCCCGAGCCAGACTTCAGTCCCTCAGGGTCTGACCTTGGTTGGGGGCATCGCCCGGAGGGGGCCGTGCTCAGCCAGGTGCAGAGTGGCCCTGCCTGGCCCTGGGCACAAGGACCCAGGGGAAAGGGCAGCCCCACCACACATGCAAAGGCCCACCATCCGGAGAGGCCAGCTGCCACCATGGCAGGAGGGCGGCGCCAGCCCTGCGGGAGCCTGTGCCTGCAGATTACCTGTCCCACCGGGCCCTGCAAGGCGCCAGGCTCCGGGCAGGTGTGGTAAGAGGTGCTTTGTGCACAAACAAAGGCATTGCAGGCACCTTCAGGCCTTCTGCCCAATCCCTGGCCACCCCTGGCACCTGCCGAGCCAAGCCCCCTGCCGGCTCAGACAGACGGGGCCTCCAGTACCTTCCCCAGCCCTCCAGCCACCAGCCTGGACGGCCGGGCACTGTGCGGTCAGGATAGCCGGGCCGCACGCTCAGGCTCCTCCACTGCCTCCCCAAGGGACAGCTGCCTCTGCCCCCACTCCAGCCACAGCCGTGGGGAGCCCTGGATCACCCAACCTCTTTGCCCAACACCTCAAGCAGCCAAGGCACCCCAACCCCTCCCATCCAAGTGCGTGGGCCCCGCCATGGGTGGAGGGACTGGCAAGGGCCTCACCGCTGGGTCTGTGGGCAGGAGTGAGGGCTGCAGGGGCGGCGGGTGGCCGGCCGTGGCTGGTGCTGGCACATGTGGTCGGGGTAGACCTCATTGTCGATGGTGCAGAACACGGGGCGGGACTGGTGACCTGCAGAGCCCGGCCATGGTGGGAGCTGGTGAGGCCACAGGCACCGAACGCCCTCTCTGGGCCAGGCCCACGCCCGTCATCTTGATCAAGCCTCAGACGACCGGGGTAAGTGCCGTCATCATCTCCAATTCACAGATGTGGAAACTGAGGCTTGGAGTTTTAGCTACGAGTGACCAAGCGCCTCCATCCCCCCCCGCCCCCAACAGCTGGTCAGGGGCTCCAGGCTTGGCCTCTACTGCCATGGAACCTTCTCCTAAGAGATCTGGTTCTCTCAGCTTAGGTGGGGGCCCTTTGTGGAGCCCCCGGACCCCAGGGTTTCCCCAAGGTGCTCCAGCACCTGCAGATGTCTCAGGTACTTGTCCCCCTCCCCCCTCAGGGCTGGAGCGTGAGGAGAGGACGGCCTGTCCCCTGGGCCATGGCCTCACCTCCGCCACACTCAGCACTGCAGTCGCTCCAGGAGCCGTGGCTCCAGCTGAAGCCGGGCCGGGGGGTGCTCAGGGGCAGGTGGTACTCGTAGCGCACGCCGGGGCTGGGACTCCTGGCTGATGAGCTGCACAGGGGGGTCCTCCTTTGAGGCCTGTCACCGACAGCTCCCCCCTCACCTCGTTCCACAGCCCTCCTGCGGCCCAGGCCCGAGGACCTGCCACGTCTCAGGGACGGTGCCCCTCACCCAGAGTCTCTCCTGCAGCCCTGCTCACTCGATGACCAGGGGC